ACTAACATATTACTAACATAAACTAACATAAACATAAAAAATTTATTAAATATACAAAATACAAAATATATAATACAATTACGATTAAATAAAATTTCTTTTTGTTTAAAATTATAACACAGCATAAATAAATAAATTAATATATTTTAAAATAATTAAGCATCCTCCGGTGGAACCCAACCTCCAAATTTAGCTTCTAATTCCTCAGCAATTTTAATACAGAGCCGGTCTTTGAATGGTGATGCGATTACTTGAAATCCTACTGGCAATTTATCCTTATTCAACCCCATAGTTACATGTGTTGCCGGCAGGCCACATACATTAAAGATTAGTGTATAATCGATTGCCCAAAGTGGTAAAAGAGAACTGTTATGGTGAATAGCTGGTACTGTAAATGTGGGGAAAAAGAGTACACCATTGTCACCCAAGAGTCTCTAAAGAGAGAAAAAAAATATATATATTTTATCATCATATTATCTTATTACAAGTACCACACTTACAATTATTTCACTTCTAAGCAAGTCCCGTTCCTTTCTATATTTATATGAATTTCTAGTTGGCATAAAACCATTTGTACGTCGCATTAACTCAAATATTAAACCATCTTTTGTAAAATCCGAAAGGCCAAATACGCTTAGTGAATATTCGCTAAGTGTTTTGAGAACTGGGAAATCTCCAGGATTTTCAATTAGAAATGGAAAATTGTGAAGGTGTGCAATCGAACTTAGCGCTATTTCAGTTGAATTACGGAAACCTTTAATTTTAGCTTCTTTTACGGGTAAACCTTTTTGTTTAAAATAATTTGCGGCGTTTAGAATACTTCCACTGATGTCATTATGAACATCGTGATGTAGAATTCCATTCAAGTCAGTAAATCCCAGCGAATAGTAGATCTGTAAATACCATTTGAATATAATATATTCTAATTTCATTTTAAATATATCAAAGATAATTTACTTTCATTTGATTCAATTGAACAGGGCTCAAGAGGTGTAATTTACTGGCTTTATTACCGGCCATCACATGCAAGATCAAGCTTAAATCACTGGCAAAACGAGTTATTGGACCCAATTGTAGGTACTGAATGTAGTCAGCATCATTAGCATGGGGAAAATGGCCACTAACTGATACCGCACCACCAGTAGGTTTATGTCCAAAAACACCATTAAATAAGCTAGGTATACGTATAGAACCAGCAATATCTGAACCAATACCAAACAAAGTAGCACCGGCACCATTTAAGGCGCCCTCTCCGCCAGAGGATCCACCACTTGATTTTGTAGCATCGTAAGCATTACAGCATTTACCATTAGTGTACGTATTTGTTTCGATACTGAAACAATATTCGGGGTTGGCAGATACAAGTAGCGGTATAGCGCCAGCTGAACGTAATATCGATATAACAGCACCATTGCTCTTCGATTTCATTCCTTGACGTTTCAGACTACCAACTTCAAACGATAAATCTGATATATAGTAAAAAATGAAATAAAACAGCGCATTTTAATAAGTGTTAAAAATATTTCAAAGTATTTTCTTACCTTTAACCCCACATGCTTCCTTCACAGTAAAGGGTACACCTAATAAAGGTTGATTTTTATACAACTCATTCAGCCGCTCTGGTGTACTTAATTTAAGCATAGCATCAACTCTATTTGCTTCTTCTAAAGCATCATCAAATCGGGTTTCAACTATAGCATTAAGGTGTGGATTAACATCTCTTATCCTTTCCATGTAACTTTCAAGAAGCTCTACAGATGAAAGCTGTTAAAAATTTTAATTTGTTAAACGATATAAATATTGTTTGATTGATTAACTACAAAAAGTTATAGATTAAGTATAAAACTTAATATACAGATTAAAAACAAGAAAAACACATTCCGTTTTATTTTATAAGAGAGTTGCAAAAGAACACTTTGATGTTTAATAGTAAGAGTTGTATGCAACTTTCAGTGCCAGCGACTTGCTTGACTACACCCGTTTTTTAGTCACATGTTAATACTGAATATGATAATATTTCAATAATTTTTCACGCATTTTTCTTTATGAATAATTTTTCTTTATAATTCAAACAGATATCCATCCATTATGTACAATATCTATCCATACTTATAAACGGACACAAATAGACCACATACCACGCAAATTATATGACAAAAAATGCTTAGGATACTCAGTGACGTATGTGACCGTAGATTTCTTGAAGAAGAAGGATTCAAAACGAAACTGACAAATTACTTAACGACTACAAATCAATTGTACGTCGCCTCAGAAATAACTGGAAACCTATATACCATAGAAACCTTAAGCTCTTTGTAGAAGCATAGATTGAATAAAAACTCGCACAAAAAAAATTAATATGTAATATAGTTGCGCTAACTATTCATGATGAAAATGGGAGAGAAAAAAAGGGCCGGAAAGAAAATAAATAAGAAGGAAAATAAATAAGAGGGTGAATAAATACCAGAGAAAATAAAAAAAAGAGAAAACGAAAGAAAGAAAATAAATAAGAAAAAAAATACAAGAGAGAAGCAATCTCTCTCATTGCTCTCATTGAAAAAGAAAGATATATAAAAAGAAAGACAATTCTAGAAATAAAACAAAAAGGGAGAGAGAGAGAGAAATGAAAAGGAGGAATAAACATAGACAGAAAAATAAAGACAGAGGGAGAAAGATGAAAAAGAAAGAGAGATACAGAAACGAAAATGGAAACCGAAAGGAGAGTGGAACAGAAATAGAGAAGAACGCAGGATCAGAGAGAAACAGGAAAAGAAAGACAGAAACAGAGAGAGACAGACAGTAAAAAGGAGAGAAATTCAAATAAGCATAGAGAGAAATTGAAAGAAAGATAGAGAGACAGAAAACAAGAGAGATTAACAGAAAGAGAATGAAGAGGAGACAGAGAGAAATAGAATGAGGGACAGAAACAGTAAAAGAGATAGGAAACGGAATAAGACCGGAAAATAAAAACATATAGAGACAGAGAGAGAAAAATAGACACAGAACAAAAGGGACACAAAAAGCAGAGTGAAAAACAGGAAGGTAGAGAAAAAAAGAAATACAAAAGTAAAACAAAAATAAACAGGAAGTGATGCCGAGAAAAGAATAGATAAAGATAAAGAGAAAAGAAAAAAAAAGCACAAAAAATAGTGTGAGAATGAAAAGAGAGAGAGAGAGAGAGAGAAAAGAGGAAACAAAAGAAGTGAAAAATACTTATCATAATATGATTGTTGTATGGATCAGGTAGCCACCTTATGAAACATTATGTATACCATAAACAATAGTTGTACAATTTATCGAATAACTTTTAGTGCAACCTATTTGTTGAATTGTAAAAATTTCACACACACACAAATATTCCTAACATGTTCGAACTTTATTCTATAGAATTCGTTAGATATTGTTCTATTTAACAAATGAATAGTCAATCATCGAATTTTATCTATCGTTAAATAGTACTTTCGTTAAATTGGGTATTCATTATCTTGAACGTCTACGGTTATATAAAAGAGGTATAGTTTTCTAAAACCCTATATTCAATTTAACAATTTTAGTGTTAGTTTAGATGGACATTCATTAAATTGGTTCTTAATTATATTGGATCTCCACTGTAATATAAAACAGGTAGTTTTCTAAAATATTTGACACGCAGTAAAGTAGAATATATAAACCGTACTTATATTCACCTGTTTATCTATTAAAGTACAAACTGATCCCTCAGTTTAAAAGCTGGTTGTATCAATCTATTCATAAGAGGTTTGGTCGTATTTAAGCATCACAAGTCGAAAATAGATAATATTGTTTTTGCGTGTAATATATGGTGGAGTTTTTGGTTCAAACCTCGTTTAAAATATTTCGAAACATATTATATTATAATTAATTAAATTTTTTTTAATTAAAATTTTTTGTATGAACTTTGAATTAGTTTTATAAAAATCTTCCCTGAATGAGTCTCTTTATACATCACTAGAATACTAGACCTTAAGAAAAAAAGTTTAACAGACCTATTTGCACGTTATAAAGGGTAAGTGGAGGTGTGTTTATGGGGAATATTTAAAACAATTTTATTAATTATTTTTATTTAAAAATAATAATAAAAAAAACAAATATTTTTCGATTTATATTGATGTGATACTATAATTGTTTTATATACTTTGAAAATTATAATAGAAATAACCGTAAACATTTTAAGAGAAAATATTATATCGAACGATGAACGATGACCGTTTTTAAAGTTGTCTTTTCACACTACCAAAAAAGATGAGTTAAATAATCCAATAAGAAAAGCTTTCAACACAAGATTAAGCCTTAATTATCCTCAAAGAGTTATTAATTCCAATGAAAGCTTTTTATTCGTTGCGCCTCTTGCACTCACACATTCATAATTGTGAATGTTACTTCCAATAAGAATGATAAAAATGTTCAGAAAAAAATGTTAACATATGAAACGTTATATTTTAGCTTTTGGCGGGTTAATAAAGTATGGATTCTTAATACATCTACATTCTAAATATTATATTAATTAACACATTAATATTTGCAAAATAACTTATTTTTAGTGCATTACGTGCATTATTATGCGACAGTAAATAAGAAAATCTCTAAATTTTTTGTATAAATATTTGCACAATAAATACCTCACGTGTCTGCAATCTCTTTAGCACTTCGGTTAATGATAATAATATTGTATCATCTTCTATTGGTGGGAGTTCATTCTTTTCTGGACTATAAACAAAATTCAATAATTTGTAAACTATAGTATAAGCAATTTTGATCATAAATTGCATTATTCGCAGAAACAATTCCATGCTGCCGAACCTCAACTATTCAAACTCAAACTCAAATTAAACACAGGCAGCACAAGTAAAGCGGTTCATAACAACAAAAACAACAAATAGAAGACAGTTGCGAATTTTGGAAGAAAGAAAGCTGAAGAAATGACGTTAGTGTTGCCAAATAAAATTTTATTAACATTTTTGCACAAAATCATTGAAGTGATCTTAAAAAGCAGTGCTACCCACTCCGTAGAACGTGTACAATGGTAAAGCTTGCAAATATCGTAAGTCGTAAGCATGACCGTAATATCGTTGTTTCCATAAACTTTTTACTGTAGCAAAATATGTTTAAAATCAAAAGTAATTCAATTAATAGAAAATAAGTTATTCTAAATATTAGTTATTCCTATTATATACTTTTCACTATAGTTAATGTATCCTAAATATTAACAGTGTTTTGACTGTCAATTATAAGAAAATGTGTGGTTGGTGAGTGTTTCAGATAGAACGTCAAATACGAGTCGATATTTCGTTACCTATTTATTTTGCCATATTATTGCGAGATTTAATTCATAGTATATTATTATATATATACCTTAGAAAAAAGTGAAAAGAGTCCCCTATGATGACTCAATATCGTTGCCATAATTTTTAAAACAATTTTTCATGTCAAAATGTGGTTTTAATTCACAGATAAAACAGAAGTGTTGGACTTTGTAAACTGGGATCGTCTAGGCTAGGATAGTCAAGCCGTGAAGTGTTTCTTTTTAAATTTTTGAAGCAGAAATAAAGAATTTTAAACTATTTCCTTCTTGTTATTCTCTAATATACAAACAAACCATTTTCATTTTCCGTAGAGTAGAATGTGTTCGAAAATTGATTTAATACTAGATAATTCGAATTTATAGTTTTTTCGAACTATAAATGCGGGGCATAATTAATTTGTTTCTTTCTTATTGCAACGTAGTGAAATTAATATCGAAAGTTACTTACATTATATATATATAGTTACTAAAGTATTGCTTCAATAGCTCCTACTAACGCATTTGGCCTCCATAATTTATCTAAATCTATGAATAATTTCTGCATCGACGGTTTTTGCATTGTTTTGTCCGTGTTAAAGCATTAAGAGAAGGAATAAGAAGACCTTTCACTCAATCAAGTTGACTGGATACCACTAGGTAGCTAAGACTGGAGAAGGTACGTTCGTTCTCAAAGTGACTGAAATGGAATGTTACGTTAGATCTTAATTCAGCAAGTTCAGCAATGAATTGCTTGTATTTTTTAAGTAATTAAGTGTGCTTAAAAGACCATAAAAAAGAAATTCATTAAAAAATTAATTGTGTGTTTAAACTGCAACAATGTTGAGAATAAAAATTACTTCTGCTACT